GGGAAGACAGTCGGCAGTTTCTGACAAAAGCGCACACACTCTTACACACAAGCCGGCAATCATGCTCCGTGCCGTTTACCCAAAGGAGCTGAAAACTCACGTCCACACGAAAACCCGCACGCGGATGTCTACGGCAGCTTTGTTCATAATCGCCGAAACTTGGGAGCAACGAAGATGTCCTTCAGCAGGTGAGTGGATTAATAAACTGTCTCCATCTAGACAACGGAATATGACTCAGCACTAAAAACAAATGAGCCATGAGGCTCAAAAGACACGGAGGAAACTTAAATGCATATTACTCAGTGCAAGAAGCCAATCTGAAAAGGCCAACACTCTATGATTCCAACAAAATCGACATTCCGGACAAAGCAAGAGCACAGAGAAATTTTAGGCCAGAGAAAATACTCTGGATAATACTCTGCTGGATGTGTGTCATTACACTGTGTCCAGACACACAGAACCCACACCACCAAGAGTGACCCTAACGTAAGCCGTGGACTCTGGGTCATTACAATCAACACAGGCTCATCCTTGGTAAAAGATGTTCCTCTCTAGGGGCGCCTGGGTGGCGCAGTCGGTTGAGCGTCCGACTTCAGCCAGGTCATGATCTCGCGGTCCGTGAGTTCGAGCCCCGCGTCAGGCTCTGGGCTGATGGCTCGGAGCCTGGAGCCTGTTTCCGATTCTGTGTCTCCCTCTCTCTCTGCCCCTCCCCCGTTCATGCTCTGTTTCTCTCTGTCCCAAAAATAAATAAACGTTGAAAAAAAAATTTAAAAAAAAAAAAAAAAAAAAAAAAAAAAAAAAAAAAAGATGTTCCTCTCTGGTGATAATGGGGATGGGGGTACACATGTGTGGGGAAAGGGATGTATAAAGATCTCTAGCTTCCTCTCAAGTTTACCATCACCCTAAAGCCTCCCTTAAAAAATTAAGTATTAAAAAAAAAAGACAGGGCGCCTGGGTGGCCGGGTTGAGTGTCTGACCAGCTCAGATCATGATCTGGTGGTTTGTTAGCTCAAGCCCCAGTTCATCCAAGTTTTGGATCCCCTGTCTCCCTCTCTCTGCCCTCCCCGGTCTGTGCTCTCTCTCAAAAATAAATAAAATACCTAAAAACTAAAAATTTAAATAAAGATTAAAAAAAAAAAGACAACGCAGTTAAAAGCGGACAAAGGATCTGAGCAGAGGTCTTTCCGAAGATCCCCAAGTGGCCCATAGGCACATGAAGCTTCCTGATATCGTTAGTCACCAGGGAAATGCACGTCACAACCACGAGCCCGTACTTCACCACCACCGACGGCGAGAACCACAAGGAGGGTAACGGGCTCCGGTGAGGATGTGGGGACCACGCCACAGGTCCTCACATAAACCCAGAGTTCCCAGACGACCCGGCAGTTCCGCTCCGGGTACGTACCCAACAGGGACAACCACACGTCCCCCGTGGACCCGGTGCCCCGGCAGCACTGCTCACAGCAACCACAAAGAGAAACAGCCCACATGTGCGTCACCAGAAGAGCGGACGCACAGAACGTGGTCTCTCCGAACAACGGAGCGTTTTCCACAATAAAGAGAAACGAAGTGCTAACAGCTGCCAGAACACAGACGGACCGGAAAACGTCTGCTCGGTGGAAGCAGCCAGGCAGGCACCAAGTCTCCCACGCGGGAGGCCATTTACACGAAACGTCCAGGGCAGGCAAACCCACAGCGACAAAAAGTGAATTAGTGGACACAGGGCCGCGGGGAAATGGGAAGAGGTTGCTAGCGGCTTTCTTTTCAGGGTGACGGAACTGCCCCGTAACTGACCACGGTGACGGCTGTCCAACCGTGAGGATGTACTAAAAACCACTGCGCTGTACATTTTAAGTGGGTGAGTTGGACGGTCCAGGAGTTGTATCTCAACAAAGCATTTCTTAAAAACACAAACACACACGAGCCCACCTCCCCTCCCCTCTCCCTCACTCGAGCCCGCGCCCTGGGGCAACCCTGGGGGCCCGGGGAGGGGGCTGGCTCCCCGGGAAGACTGTTGGATGGGCAGCCTGGGGGCCTGGAGACCCCAGACAAGGACTCTTCCCGAGCCGGTCTGTTTCTGCAGAACTCGACCATCTGACCTCACAGAGTCAAGCGAATTAAAACACACCACAGGTGTGAAAACATTTGGCACAGTATGAGCCACATGACAGGCGCTTTCTACAAGCTAGAAAAATAACCAAGTACCTGAAAGGACTTTGACAAAGACCCTCGTAAATGTAAGGCAGCTTTGCAATTTCATACATAAAATTATAACACGTCATCAGAAATAACCCACGTTCAGTTTCATACGTTGCTTTCCAAAGACTCACTTGAGCTCAGTGCCCCACTGTTTGAAAGAGAAATTACTGGAATTGGGGTGCCCTGCGGCTGGCTGGTGAGCTGCTTGCTCCAGCTCTCCGGGGGCGGTTTCCACAGCGAGGACATTTCTGGCTTTTTCTGCAGAGGCATCTGGGTGCGGGTAAATTACATCTGAAAGACAGGCAAACAAACGTCAGTTCCTCAGAGCTCCCACGTGGGACGCGGCATGCTACAGGGTACTCGTAACGTCACCTGCACGACAGGGTGCAGCTTGTGCAGCCGCGGTCACCTAGAGTACTTCCGTGTTTGTCACAGAAAGGCTGTGACATGCCTCAAGGCACCACGTGCCCGGGACAGGAGAGCCAGGGTCCCCTCTGTGGTCCTGCAGATCAGCAAGCTGGCACAGAGCCGTGGCCCAGCACGCTCACCGCAGTGATAAGGAACAACCCCTGGGACAGGCCAGTAGGGTGAAAAAGCAAAGTACAGATCAGTTTACACTACCACTCTCTCCCCGAGAAAACAGGGGAATAGGAGTATCCTGCACACATTTGCTAATATCTGCAATCGTGACCCTGAGACAACAGGTGTGCACCTCCCAGGGGAGCGGCTCACTAAAGTCACAGAAGCACTGATGCTAAATCATGACCAGATTTCAGAATAGCTTTAAAATGGAAGCTTCTGAAGTACTAAAGGTTGAAACAGTACGATGTCTGGGATTTGCTTTAAAATAACTATATTTGGTTATTTACGAAATAATAACATTCAGGGGCACCTGGGTGGCTCAGTCGGTTAAGCGACCGACTTCAGCTCAGGTCACGATCTCACAGTTCGTGAGTTCGAGCCCCACATCAGGCTCTGTGCTGACAGCTTGGAGCCTGCTTCGGATTCTGTGTGTGTGTCTCTCTCTCTCTGCCCCTCCCCTGCTCGTGCTCTGTGTCTGTCTCAAAAATAAATAAAAACATTAAAAAAAAAAAAAAGAAATAATAACATTTGCTTCAAATAACACAAAGTGGGCAGGGCTGTCCATGAACCAGCACAGGTCCAGGAAATATTAATTGTGGGAATTACCCAGTAAACACGGGGATGATATTATAGTATTCTCTCTTTGTGTAAAAATTCCAATAAAAACTTATTTTTTTGAAGAACCTTCTTTTAAACATACATTTACTTTTGAGAAAGAAAGAGGGAGAATCCCAAGCAGGCTCCCCACTGCCAGTGCAGAGCCCTACATGGGGCTCGAACTCACAAACCGTGAGATCATGACCTGAGCCAAGGTCAAGAGTCAGACGCTTAAACGACTGAGCCACCGAGGTGCCCCAATAAAAACTTATTCTAAAGATCTGACAAAAACGTACCCGACTACAAATACTCTGTACTCTCCCACACGGCACCCTTCTTTCTGAGAACAGGGCATCGGGGCATGTTTGCAAACAGAAGCGAGCCAGATACAGTTGGCTCTACGCTGCCCTTTCCTGAAGTGCCTGCACACTGCCATTATCAACCGTTCTTCTCCGTGAAAGCAAACTCAGAACGGCCTGCTGAACAAGGACGTCGAGGAAAAGGCTGCTTCTGGTCAGAGGAGTGCAGGACCGGAGAGGCTCGGGCCGGGTGTCTGTGGAGCTCACGGAGCACGCGTGCAGGGAACGCGGGGCCGCAGGCCCTGGGCTCTCGCTGTGCAGACGGCTCACTGACTGACCTCGGCAGCCTGAGAAGAGCTCCGAGTGTGACACCAAGAAGGATGGTTGTGTGCCCTTCCAGGGAACGTGGCTCCGGCCCCGAGGGTCAGCACGCAGCTCGAGCAGGGTTCTGAGCAGGCAAAGCGGGAGGGGTGTCGGGAGACAGAAAACACGTGGGCTGGCAACCGCTTACGAGACTCCGGGAAGGCAGCCAGAAGTTGCCAGTGACCACGGATTCCCCCCTCTTGGTTCCAAATTACTGCCACATGGCGAATGCCACGTGCTCAGGGTACCTCAGACAAGACCAAGCACCTGCCCCCCACGGGAACCCATCTCAGAAAGAGACACAGAATAACAAGACATCAAGCAGGATGCACTGAGCCCCTGGCCTCCAGGGCCCTACGGTCCCCAAAGACGCATTCCTGAAGGATCTCATCCTAGGCTCCAACCGCCGCCTTCCTCTTCACTCTTTATAGACTGGAGTCCCCCTAAGACTTCACCTGGAAAGAGTTCCAGTAAACAAACAAGTTCAAATACTATTAACCGGGCCCAGTCCCCTGTACCTGCCTCATCTATTAAGACACTGAGCCCAGAGCCAGGGCCGGAGAGAAGGAGCCTGTGCCCTGGAAGACGGACACAGCAGGTGCAGCGACCACAGCTGTGAGAAGGCACCTCTGTTCCTCCAGAGCGGGGGACGCGGAAGCCTGGGCTCCCCTGATGGGGGGGCTTCCACACACGCTCGGGGAGGGCACCACAGGCCGGGCCAGGGGGTGAACACAGCATGCTGCACCCATGTCCACGACGAGCTGGCCGCCTCTCCTTCCTGTGCAGGCTGGGGGAGCGAGGAGAACAGCCCCTGTGGGCGCAGAGCACCCCTGGCCCGCACTGGAAACCTTCCCAAGGAGCTCTGGGCCCCGGGGCCCGGCTGGAGCAAAGGGCCAGGGGCCGGAGAGGGCACTGGCAGAACAGACCGACGCTGCAAGTCATTACCGAACGTGAAAAAGAAGCAATTTCCCAGTTTTGGCTACTCTTGTCAGTTTGCCTTGTTTTCAATGTTTAGAAGACAGTGGGAGATTTACTTAATTCAGAGCGAGCGGCTGGCTTTGCGTCCACACGAGTCCTCACATCAGCATTCAGGAACCGCCTCGAGGACACAAACTAGGTCACAGCAGCATTTCCTTGAAGTCCTGAATGGCAGTGAGCGGACCCACCAGCTGGTGCAGGATCCTGCGGCTTCGCTCGGGAGGGACGGTCGGCGCGTTCAGACATTTTCTGTTCCTTTCAGACACTTCCATGTGCCTTCGTGGTGGCCCTGGCTTCCCGGACCTGGAGCCCTGGGCCCATGGGCCACTCGGACGTGTCCTGACAGCGGCCGCCCTCCTCTCCCACTCCTGGCCTGCTGCCCCGTCCATGAAAGCAGGCAAAGCGATGGGAAAAGGCCATTCCCACAGGTGACGGAGAAGACACTGCAGGAGACACATCTCTGTGGGAGCGGGACAGCGGGGTCTTGGCAGGAAAAGCTTCTTCCCGCGCCATCGAGCGAGTCTTCCAGACTGTGCAGCGGCGGTCGGAAGCCACAGAAAGACCTGAGAGCAGAGTGTCCACCCAGGCACCAATGAGGAGGGGCTCTCAGGGCCCCCGGGGGAGCCGGTCCACACGTCTGGGCTGGCTGCTCCCGCGGCAGACAGAAGTCTCGTGAACAGTAGAGAAGACGGGCCCAGTAACGACTGGGAACCAGATGAACAACAAGTGAATGACAGGTGGATGAAGAGCTGGCACGGGAGGGCCCGGGGGCTCACGCGCCTGCCCTCTGACCTGCGTGTCCTGTCACCTCCCTCTGAGAGAC